GGCTCAGAAAAAAAAAAAGAAAGAACAAACGAATGAACGAACATAATAAATGAAGTCAGGCATCCCAGATGAATATAATGAGATAGAAAGGTTAATATGCTGTGGTGATGTGAACCACAAAATCAAAATTTTCTGTGCATGGCTGTCTTCCTCACTAAGAGAAGTAAACAAAATTGTGTAATCCATTCATTCTCAGTTCATGTTTTTAGTTAAACACGGCTAAAAGAAGACAAGGAACATGAATGTGACAGAATATCTTTGTTCACATGCATACAAATTCTTTACTTAAAGTGTTTGAATGTCAGAAACTTGAAAATGGTCATCAAAAAGTTATTTCTAATGCATGTACTCAGAAAATATACTTAAGGAGATAGCTATTCAAATAGTTCATGTACTATTAGCAGGCGATACTTTCTTTAGTACAGTAGACTGAGGAAAGACAACATGTACTCAGTTTCATAAATAGTAGTAACTAGTTAATGCTGAACCAATAGTTTAATTTGTAAGATAATGATAATAACACAATAGTAATAATTAAACTGGTTTCAGACTAAATCTGGCAAGTTGAAATAACTCATCCATGTAAAGACAACCTCTTTTTCTCTTTTATGAACACTGGAGAGTATGTCATCCATTAATCCAACCAAATAATTGTTTAAGTAAAGATCAGTCACTAGCTCTGTGACCTTTGATAAGGTACTTAAGTTCTGTGTACAATAAGTTTTTGACATTATCTAACAGTCAAATATCTCCATAGTAAATGGTCAATATCTCCATAGTAAATAGTTTCCAGTTAATATGGTATCATTATTTTTAAAGTAAACTTAGAGATTTAAAAATTACATCTATCTAGAGTCACAAAATATTTTTAAGACATTTAGAAGTGGCATTGTTTTAGGACTTCCAAAACACATATTGGAATATTTGATGATAAAAGCTATGACTATTATAAATGCATTTTTCACTTACTGATTTTGTTAATAGCTTTTTCTTATATGGGTAGAGAATAATTCTTTTCTTTTAAGAAATAAATTTTACTTTATAAGCCCGATTGTGGAGTCTGGTCTGGAGGTATGGTAGGATGGAGACATAGGAAACCTGGGACATCCTGGAAGCTCCAGGAGGAGCTAAGAGGGTTGGATAGAGACACAAGACAGATCTGGGGATCCTGGAAACACCAGGAGGCACTAAGAGGGCAGGAAAGAGACATGGAACAGACATGGGGCATCCTGGAAGCACTAGGAGGAGCGGAGGGTCAGAGAGAGAAACAGGACAGACCTGGGTTATCCCGGAAGCACCAAGAGGAGCTAAGGGGGTCAGATGGAGACATGAGACAGACCCAGGCATCGTGGAGGCACCAACTCTCAAATAAAACATTGGCTATGCTGCTCTGGAAAAATAACTCTATCTTTCTGAGACTTGGTTGCTTTTCATCTGTAGAAAGTGTAGAGTTTATGTGAGATTGAAATGAGAATTAAATAATATATAAAGCACGTATCATAATATTATTTCTGTATCTTTCTCTACTCCTATACCTTGTCACTATAATATTGACATAGGAACACAATAAGTGCTTGACTAAATTTAAAAATTACTATGATTTTATTTTATAGAGAAGTATTTTTAAGAATTAAAATAACTAGTTTTTTAAAAGAATATAAAATAATCTATGATATTTAAAAAGTACTAAGGATTTTATATTTTAAAATACCTATAAATACTTAAATTTAAAAGATAGTTTTCTCTTGGCTAGATATTTTATATTCTAATTGCTTCACGAATTTAAATTGATAATAGCTAATAAATGTGTAAGTAACGTATTACTAAATCACATTCATATTTTGAAAGTGGTTTATAAAGGTATAATGGAATTATAAATGTCAGGAGAGATTTTACAGATCTAATGTAATCCTCTATGGAAAGTCCTGGAGGCAGAAAAGCTAAGTTAAATCATTGTACCTATGGTCACTCCTTCCCTCACTTCTGTTTGTTCTTAAGATGTAGAGCTAGACATACCAAACAGAAGAAGCACATGTGAGATTTCCAGTGGGACTGTTGGAGGGGCCTGAGGTTACAGAATCTGCCAAAGAAGGACACCAGGAACTGTGGAGTCTGGAGGCAGGGGCTGGTGTCTTTCCCACAATTGCAAAGCACTCACATGTGTGTCTGCCTGGAAGACTACAGCTAGAGTGTTGCCCTAAGTGATGTGTATGTTATTGATGACAAGCTATCAGAGGAAAAAATGTGCTTTGAAGGCAGCAAAATAGGTAGTAGTTTTAATTTTAAAATATGAAATAAGAGATAAGCAGTACTTGAGAATATCTTATTCTAAGGTTTTTTTTTAGAGTTAAAGGTCTATTTTTGCTTGTTTTATAGAAGCTTCTACTTTTTTGATAAGAAGAACTGGGGAAATGAACTAGTATTTAACATTGTTAAGAGCCATAAAATTTCAGTCTCCTGTATTCAAAATGGAAAGAAAATCCTAAATTTTAAAAATAACAACAAAGTGTGTAATTTAACATTTTGTTTTACCTGGGCAAAGGAGGAGGAATTATAAAGCACGGTATCAGCCACTTAGTAACTGACTGATGCATGCTAAACCAAATTTCTTCTAATCTTTACACTCATCCTGACATCGAACACGTGTTTTTCATTTCTACTTAGGAGCAGTCTTGCTTTATGGTTCTACAATGATACTATTAGCACACAAAGTCGGTAAGGTTTACGTCAACTATTAAAAGAGTGAAAGCATACAAAATAAACATTGACATAATCATCTAAACAAGAAAAAGGAACATAATGTTAATTGTATGTATACATGTGGAAGCAAACATACTGCCTTTATTTAAAAGCTGAATAATAATTATTTAGTCCTGGCTTAGAGCTAGACTCCTTCAGCCCTGCACCATGCCTACTGGAAACCTGCTCAGTAATGCAGTGAACTCAGAAATGTCAGAACCCCCAAACCTCACTCCCAGTTCACACTCAGGAATCATCAGCACCCCCAGACCTCACCCCCAGTTCACAGTTGGGAAACATCGGCATCCCCAAACTTAGAAGAAATTTGGTTTAGCATGCCTCAGTTCACACTTGTGAAATGTCACCACTCCTAACCTCATTCACAGTTTACACTCATGAAATGTCAGCACCCCAAAATCTCACCCCCAGTTCACACTCAGAGGGAAATCACCAAGATGCAGCTCTCCAACACGAAGCCACATCCAGAAATCTCCATCAAACAAAACAATCAGACCACATGTTCCCTGGGTACATGGGCATCTCTACTTTCCACACTCCTAACTCTCCACAGGATCAATATCATGCCAGCACACACCGATCCTCATTCCTCACTTGTTCATTGACCAACTGGATGGAGCACAGAGTGTTCTGAATATTTTAGATTGCTTGTAATTATATTCTTTCCCATTTTAATCCATAGGGATAGCTTAGCTATTCCAATGTTTGTCAACTGGAAATCTTTTTTTTTGGTTCATTACTGACAAGAGCTCATACTTTGCCTTGAACTGTGACCTCGAACAAGGGGTCATGAGATAATGAACAAATTCCAATAGTAAACTCAAGCCAGTAGGAGTTTAGTGCATGGTGGGTTTTCACGTGTTGTCTAAAGACATTAAGGATGTAGCATAGTACAGAGATGGCATTTTCAGACAAGGAGATTACACCGAATGTGGAGAGAATGAAGCTCCTATGATAAACATCCACTGTTAACTGTACAACACTTATTTTTATGCTATAAACTAAAACATGTTCCTGCTGGGCAGTGGTTTGCTGAGGGTGTGGACTGGCCTCAGCCTTCCTGTCCTTCTTGTCTATATCAGAAGGTGAGTGATGTCTGATCTCAGGACACCTTTACACTTCAAAAAATTCCTGAAGGTCTCAAGAGTTTTGGGCCTACATTTTGGTTCATGTGAACTCTATCTGCCTTATTCAAAATTAAACCTCATATAATTTAAGAATATTCATTAATTCATTTAAAAATAACACAAATTCAGGAGATGATAACACAAATAACATATTTTTATGAAACATATTTTTCAAACAAAAAGTCTTGTGAGGGCCATTGTTCTGTACTGCAAATCGTTTGATGGCTGATTTGACTGAAGACAGTAAGCTTTTCACTAACTTCTGCATCAATCAGCTGTGACATGCTCATACCTGTGGGACATGAAGAAAGTCCCACCACACAGGTATGGAACCAAAGAGAGAAGACCTGTAGGCCCAAAGTACCTCAGGAAATGCTGGGGGCCTCATTCCATGCTCTGAAAACCACAGGACTATCACACCATCTGCTGAAAGGTCATCGTTCAATATTTGCTAAACTAACAAAACATTTAGAGAAAAAAATAAACTCTTGGAGCATATGTACACATATCTAAACACACAGATGATTTGCACATTCATTTTGGATTCAACTGATAATATTTTTTATAAATGCTCGTTTTGCTGAAATGAAATGCTAATTACTCTTTACAACTTAATTGGAGTGTGGATTGGTGGAAGGCAGTCAGAATCAAATAGTGAAAACAATAAAAATAAAATGTATAATGCCAACATTTGATAGAAATAAACAGATAATTAGGAAGAGATATTTCACTAGAAAAAATACCAGGCATAATCAAATCAAGTGGCTAATTCTGAGTCTTTTTTAAGCAGTAAATTAGATTGAAACACTTTACTGAATACAAGTTGGATCCTAGTATTTTTAGAATCATACATACCATTTCCAACTAATGTATAAAAATTACAAGAAAAAAAATTTTGCCTACATTTTTAGCATTTCTGCCCTAAATATTAATAGGAATTAACCAAATATGGGAGAAAATATATTGATTCAAACATTTTACAACTTTTAAAATCATAATTTTTGTTCTTAAAAATACCTTTCAGTAAATTCAGAAATGAAAATATAATTTTTAAGATTACACATTAGAGTTTTAAACACACCATCTCACTATTTGGGAAGGGATGAAAGGACTCACATTTCCTTGCCTGGAAGCTGCTGCCTCTGAGAAGCCATCTTAGGACCCTGAGAAGCCATCTTGGGTTCTGTCCCAAGGTTTCTCATCATTCGCTGCCTCCTCTTTCTACTTGGTGCAATGTCAGTGACGTCAAGACTCGGAATAATGGAATCATCTTTACTTGAAGTGGCTAAAATAAAATGAGATAAGATTATGATCCAACAAATTATGCACAAAACTTGTGAGTGAAGTATCAACTTGCTGCTTTGACATAAGATGACAATTGAAATACTGCAGAACGATTCTCCCAAACCTTTATGCAGATTTGCCGATGGTGTGGAGTGCTTTACTGCCAACATAAAACACAACATATATTGTACACAGGGAGCAAATTGATCACAATGGCCCTTGGCTATCCCAGACAACAGTCTTTCCAAATGCATTACTAGTACCATTTAATCTCTTGTTGCTAGAACTGCATGGAGGCCTTGAAGATGCCTCCAAGTAGTGTTTGGAAGAGAAAAGAAATACTGTGGGAATGATATGAATGAAGTTGATATTAAACAGTAATTATTACCTGGAATGGGAACTTCTGTTAATAACTCAGAGAGAATATCATAGACTTAAAAAAAAAAAATCTGGCTGGATGTGGTGGCTCATGCCTGTAATCCCAGCACTTTGGGAGGCTGAGGAAGGAGGACTGCTTGAGCCCAGGAGTTCAAGACCAGCCTGGGTGACATAGCAAGGCCTCATCTCTACAAAAGATCACAAGATTTAGCCAGGTATGGTGGTGCACCTGTAGTTCTAGCTACTTGGGAAGCTGAGGTGAGAGGAACACCTGAGCCCAGGAGGTTGAGGCTGTGGTAAGCCGTGATTATACCACTGCACTCCAGCCTGGGTGACAGAGTGAGACTTTGACTCAAAAGAATAGAAAAGAAAAGAAAAAATCTAAGAAAATAGTAACATAGCTTGAATGTGCCTAAACCACTAAGCTATTCCTCAAAGTATTTGATACATGTGAATAGAAGCAACAGTAGAAACATACTTGGTTCGTGTCCCTTTATTCTTTATTAATGAGTTAGATCCAAAAAGCTTTAGTGGAGTTCAGAATATTCATTCCTTCATATGAAACATGGTATATAAGGGAACCGCAAAAAACCCAGAATTATTTTTTGAAGGGCGGGCTCCTTGTAGTATGTAAGTGTTCTAGGACTCCATCAGCATCCACCTAGCATTCTTGTGAGGGGTTGCATTCGACCTCAGTTAATTTTTTGTTGAGGTTTTTCAGTGTGTTTGCCCATTTCATCATGGGTGATTTACAAGCACAGCTGCCCACATCACGCTGAGTATTCAGCAATTTTTGACTAAAATGGCATGACACCTATACCCCATCTCCCTGTTTACTGGATCTTACCCTGAGCACTTTTTTTTTCTTTGTTTCCCTGGCTGAAAAAAGTCCTCAAAGGGAAATGTTTTGCCAGTGCAAAAAAGGTGAAATAAAAAATGGCAGAAGCACTAGAAGGCATCAAAATTGCTCAAAGCTATCTTGAACCATGTGGAAAAGTGTCTCAATAGGTATACTGTTTCAAATGGACAGTACTTTGAAGGTGACTGAAGTTTAAATACATAAGAATAAATACACAATTTTTAATAAATAAATTCCAGTTTGGGGGATTTTCCTCATATTCTGCTATAATGCATGTTTCTGTAAAAGAAAAGAGGTCCTTTGCACTGGAAAATAAAGCAATGATATTAATATAGTTTGGATTTTGTGATGCTCTTGGGTCATATGATTTTTTTCTCAGCATGGCAACATTTAAAACTGATGAGGGCAAACTTTCATTCTAACCAAAGAGAGAGCTTCAGCAAGTACAAAGAGAGGAGGTGGAAATGGGCTGAGAACCCTGTACAATGTCTGCTCTTTCAGCACAAGCAGGAGCTAGCATGGCAGCGCCGAGGAGTCAAGGGCACTGGACTTCTCGAAGGTGAATTCTCTGTTGAAGTCCTGATGACGGTTGAACAGGTTGTGAAAGCATTTCTCCCAGCATCTTAAATGAGATTTTGAATTTTGATGAAAGTACTGGAATCACACACATTCAATAACTCTGGCGTCCTCCCTCTAGTGGGCAGGTAATACAGGTTAGCTGCCCATGATGCTGCCCCAGGCGTTCCTGGAGAGTGGATGGAGCTTGGACTGTCATCAGGGCTGTTACCAGAAACCTAACCATAACAGTGACAAAACTGCATGGATTTGGAATGTTCTGTACAAATCTTATATTTTTCCCCCACGAGTCCCACTATTTTTAGTGTGTACTTCCACAGTGTGAGTGGTTTTTCAGATACACACACATCACGTTCCAGCAGGACAGTCTGTGTGGGGAGATCTAGCTGTGCAGTCATGTTTACTTGGGCTTTCTGGGATCACCCGGACACTCTTGATCACTTTCTCAAAACTCCTCTCTAAATTTTTTTTCTTAATGATAACAACTATTTTTCAGAACTTATGTGTTGGGCATTTTGCATGGGTTTTACATGGATTATCTTATTAAGCCTTAAAATAACTTTGTAAAGTACTTACTATTAATGGTACCACTTTCGTTTTATTTATGAGGGACCTGAGGTTTCAGCGAGGTTGTGACTTGCTCGAATCATACAGTTTAGCTCTTATAGTTTAGCATGATGACAATTAACACATTTCTCCCTAGTGGGTAAATTATTCTGTGTTCGAATATTAATTAAATGCCCATTAAGGCATATTTTACTTTCCAAAACTGTTTCAGTTTTAGGAAATATAGTTCCACCAGACTTCTCATAAATTATTTTATTAATCTCTAAAAATGTATTGGAAGTATAGAAGGATAAATAAGAAAGGAAGTTTTTCTTACCAAATTCAAATGGAATGATTTCCCAATTTTTACTAAGCTTTGAGATGACTAAGTAAGGTACAGGTACAGGCTTGTGTATGAACAAAACTCGCAAAAGTATTAGAGGGAGAGGATATTTCCATTATAGGTAGACTTGCAAAATGGAGGGTTATATTTAATGTCACGGAGAATATCTAGAAAGAAAGAATACTGAATTTAAACTAAAATGTAAGGTTGCTCAGGTGGGTCAAAAAATGGAAAAAAATAAAATATAAGGTAAAATTTTAAAAAATAAAGTAACCAAAATGTTTTGTGATTCATTTCAAAACTCTAAATGATGCTTACCAACTGTCAACCAAAAAGGGTCTTCTGTTGTAAAATGGTTGCACCAGTTGTTACAGTGTCTGCCAATTACTTTAAAATACGATGTGACTCAAGGTGTACTGGTTAGGGTGAGCTACGACTCAGGTGTTTCCAGTCACCAATCAGACATTCATAGACTAGAAGCAAGTTGATAGGATTAAAATCCACACTCTTGATGGGGCTACCATATATACTTTTTTGTTCATATTAGTCATAACTGATGATGTACTCATTAGTATACTAAATGACAAAGTGTGTGCACACTGGTGAAAACAAGGTGTGTGAACTAACTTGATGAATATTGCAAATGAACTTCCATGAGTGAAATTAAAAGTACTAGAGATATACAGATTAGCTAAAATATTTTAAAGACATGCCCTATCATTTTATAAACAAGGTCTAAAAACCCAAAAGACCTTTGTGTGCTCAGAGGTGCTGTCAGATGCCAAATCTCCAAGTGGTTCTGCATCTAGCTGGGACTCTGGACAGTCATGATTGCTCGATGCCAGCGTGAACTATCATTCTTGCCTGGGAATCTTTATATTTGCCATATGTGAATCTTTGCTGAAGGTGGTAACTGGGACACCTAGAAGGACAGAGAGCTTGGAATTCCTTAAAATTCGTATGACAGGTTCATGAATTATTTTGTGCTTAAAAGTAATTAATAATTGTATGTGTGGCAAAATTGAATCTGAAATTGGTATTTATTACTATTATTGCCCTGAAACAAAATCATGGGGGAAGCATGGCAACTCTAATGCTATCATGGAGAAGCTGAAGCTGTGTACAAGTGGGGACCCCCTAAAAACTGGAATTTATTTTTTAAAAACCGTGTATTTAATCTTACATGTTTGAATTTCAGTCACCTCCAAAGTACTCTCCGTCTGATGCGAAACACCTCTCGAGATGCTTTTTCCAGTGCTCAGAACAGTTTTTGAACTCATTTGGATTCCTTTCAGTGTTTCTGCCATTTTTGGTTTCAACTCTTCCACATCAGCAAAATGCTTCTCTTACACCTTTGTTTATCCAATGAAACAACAACAAAAAAAACCCATTGCTCAGTGTGAGACTAGGTGAATGGGGCACAGGGGCCATATTGTCTTTTGGTCAAAAACTCCTGAACACTTAACGCTGTGTGGGCAGGTGCATTTTCATGGTGGAAGAGCCAGTCACCTGTTTGCCACAACTTGGGACATTTCTTCTGCAAACTGTGATGCAATCTCCTCAAAACTTACAGATAAAAACTTTGGCTGACCATTTGATCCAGAGGAACAAATTCTGAGAATACTACAAATGGCCCACCTGCCAAAAGATACCTTTGGGGATTTTTTGGTCCCCACTGGTATAAATAAGTACGCTGGCTGTTCACCACTATGTTACAACTCGTTCCTCTTGAGAATTCCAGGGCAGTCTTTCTTTTTTATTTTATTTTAAAGATGTGGGGAACAATTCAGGATTAGGTATACAAATGTCATTGTACAGATAAAGTTTGGGCCTCACTTTGGACCCCACTTCACCTGATTTGAGATCAGGCACCCTTATTGATGAAGCCTTACTATAAAACTGGATGAGGAAAGGCTTGCTGGGTAAGCGGACACCTCATTGGTTTGCATTTGCACCACAGGAAGCAGTGTTTCCTCAGTTGTTCGCACATATAACAGCAAATTGTATTGTAATTGATTATCTTACTCTAAAATGAAGTTTTGAAATCTATCCAGCCTTTGACAGAAGGGGAAAAAATGCCATTCTATCTTTCCCTCTCCACCCTGCAATGCCAGAAACCAGGCAGAAGAGGCATGACTCCAGCACCTGGTGCCAAGGTATTAAATCGCTCATCCAGAACATTTCCAGATTTCCACCTGTCTTCTTTTGTCCTTTCACTGTGATGATGTTTGGTCTTCTCACTCCCTGAGGTCTGGATGCTACACACCACATGTCTGTGCTGACACTGGCTCCC